ATGTTGATGGATAGAAAGTGACGATTTATTATTGATTTAAAGATTAATTAATTAATTGGATAGATGATAATAGATGACAGGTGATGGATTGATTGGATAGATAATAATAAATTGCTGATGACATATGACAGATAAGACTGATGATATATGATAGAAATAATTGGTGATAGTTGATAGATAAGAACAATGACAGATACAATAGATGTCAGATTAGACTAATTACTAATGATTGGTGTGATCGATGATATTGATTAACTGATTGAATGATAAAAGAAATATGATTGATATGTAGCCAGACTAATATAGTATCAATATGAATACATGATATATGACATGTGAGAACCTGAAAAGTAAAATATGTTAACAAAATAAAATTTCTACTTGAATTGTAGCACAGCGGCGTTTTACCTTTAAGCGCCAAGGCTCTGGTGTCTAGAGCATAGTAGCGCTAAAAATGATCGATGTGATGCTGGAGTCTCTATTTTACAACAACTCTGAAGTCAACATGTAACGCTAAGGCATTGGGTCTAAGCGCTATGACATTAGACCAACAATAATTTTTTTTAAAAAATATATTTTATTGTAAATATCCATGCACCATCCCCTCACTCCCTCTTTTCGCATGCTTGGTCGGGAAGGGAAGGACAAGAGAAGGGAGAGAGGAGATAGAAAGGTCTTCAGGTCATTTTTGTCCATCGTTCTTATTACGGATATGATTTTATTCATTGTAAGTAACTATTATTTTACTTATATTTCAATGTTTTTAATTTCTAAGAATTTATCTCTCCTAAATTTATAAAAATATATTATTTTCTAATTTTGTAAGCTTCCATCATGTAACTTTTGATATGTTTTAGATTTGATCATTCTGAATGATTTGATATGATTTTCTTGTATTTTCACTAGTTAAATTAGTGCATAAGAATTTCTCTGTGAAATTTGTGTGAAAATGTGTACTCAAATTAAAGTGAAAAATGATGCATTATGATTGGTAAGATGTACTGAATTGTGCGGCATGTTAAAATGGTTTGACTTAGAAAGAAAAGGATGTATTGTATTAATATTAATCATAAAAAAGAAGGTACTATTTGATATCAGATATATGGAATGATAACCTTATAATGATACAATGATATAATGATTCTAGAGCACCGATTGGGAGTCATATGGAGTTGATGATTGATTGGGAGTCATAAGTGTAAGAGCAAGATACCCTTAAGATACCCTTAGATGAATATCTGATAGAATACTGATTATTTACGATAGAATATAGATTACTGAATGTTCACTCATTATTATTCATGACATTGTAGCTTACATTGTGTTGATATTGTTTACTATTGACATTGTTGATGTTCCTGATAATACTGATCATTATTGTTGATATAGATCATCATTATTGATACATAGGACTGTGATGTGACGTGTTATCAACTGAACAATTAGTACATATATCTGACATAGATATTAATGCATAGATTTCTTCATATAATTTACAACATATTATTTTGCTTGTTCTTGCATTGATTTATGTTATAAAATTTTAATTATTTGTTGGGTTATTCGCTCATTACATAGTTTAAATGATTTCAAGTAAATATTCTGAAGATTAAGGCTATGTATGCATGTATTTATATTTTTTGTTGTCTATATCAATGCAATGAAATTAATAAGCTCTGGTAGATGTTGAAATATAAGCCCCATTTATTTTTTTAGTAAATATAAGCGTGTTTGTTTAATTAATTTTATTAATTAATGTTCAACCTAAAGCTTGCTTATTCATAATTGACGCATTAATAAGCTGCCAAGCTCTAATATTTACTTGTTTATTTTTATAGTTTTCTGTACGTACGTTTGTAGCCTTAATTAATTACCTCTTTTAGTGCTGCTACTTGCCGTCCGTTCAGGTTTTTTATAACTTTTTTTAAATAAATTATTGAATTAGTTTGAATATTAAACTTAAATTGAAATTAATGTTAATACTTAATAGAATAATATTACTAATTAATGAACCACCGAAATTGAAGGAATTTTCTTTTACAAAAACCAAATTTGACTAAAGAAACTAAAGCAATTAATTATTGATTACAAGTAGTTTACAGCCAGCAAGCATTTTGGAATATTAACGTACTTACCCTAAAACCCTAACTTATGAATACCTACAAATAATTTCTCATAATATATATATATATATATATATATAAAAGCTTTATGGGAAATTATGCCAACTTGCGTAGCAAGAATAGGAAGATCCCCATTTTTGTGTTAAGGAGAAGTTTGGTGTGACCTACTATGAGTAGGAGATGGCTTTAGTTGCATGCAATTCTAGTTTTTCAAGATGGAGCCACTTCCAAATGTTGAGCGGGGATGGATTATGCCTCATGAAATGAAAAGGCTACTGACAAGGAGAATCTAGATGAAGCCTTGTTAGCCATGAATGCTGTGGAGTAGTGGTTTGCTGAGCACATTGGAGAATAATAATAATTGATTTTCAGATAACCAGCTGAATTGGGATGCCAACAATTTGAGTATACGCTTTTTTTAGCGTGGCATAGCTTGGCAGAAGGTACCTGGTTAGGAGCTTGTGCAACGCAACTAGGTGTTCTTACCAATCCTAAATTTTCTCATGCAATATCTTATATATGCCTTTTTGACGTGGTGATTAGGCCCAGATTCTCCATAGAATTACCCTATGATGGGGAGACATCGGAAAGCTACTAGAATTCTATCTGGACTAGGACTCAAAATAAATTACAGTGGATGTAAGGCTTGCAAAATTTAACTAATCTTAGTAACAGTTATGTAAATCAAGCACTTAACAATTAAATGCAAGCAAGATTAAAAAAATAAAATTTAAAATAGGGAACAGGATATACAGGTAGCTAAATTGAACTAGCAAGCTCGCCCAAGCATGAGCTGAACCTCAAAAAATTCTAAGAAACCCGCAACTCATGCTCAAATGAAATCTAAAGCTTTGAAATGTGAGAAATAACTCTCCCATTCCCATCATATTTATAAGAAGAGGAAAAGCTTGTGGTTTCTCCAACAATAATTAAATAATAATATTTTAATTTGTAA